TATCATTCACTTTGTCCGACAAAGGGGTCGATCCTATCACTATGATCACCCACTCAGATGAATTCTTAGACTGCCCTAACACACTCAGATTTTGACCCTCGATGGATCTCACTGATTTGCATATCAAAGACAACCCAATCCAACACCTAGTGCAGCACCATAATTAAGTTTAGGGGTTATGTGTAACTTTCCAGTTTTGCCCATCAATCTCTAGGGTCTAGGGCATAACTGAAAAATGGTCTAGGTTCAGTGTTTCAACCAAACACACACTGTATGCGCTTTGGGTCTAACCCTAGCAGCTGAGACAAGCTGCCCCAACTTCTTTGGCAGCATATCAATGTCAACCTTTGCATGATAAACTCCCCAAATCTATCCAATGGCAGTGAACATTTTAAACTAAYGTGAGTCTCATAAGTGTCCAATTTAAGGGGTAATTTCACATAAACATATCAATATCAACATAATAATGTACTTTTAGTCATTTACAATAAATTTATCTGTACATCAATCTGATCAGAGCTAAGGGCATACACTATCTAACATTTGTCATAGAGGATTGATGCACCACTTTAACTCGTAAGTTTGGACTATTCACATGATCTCTTAGTAGATTTGACCATAGGTTACCTTTTACCCTCTAGGCCTCCATTTCAAGGCCTCGTTTGTTTTTCGTAAAGTAGGGGCATGTATATTGGTAAGTCCCATGATAAAGAAAAAAAAACTACTTTCATTTTCCAGTATTAGTGGGTTTTATGGAGACAAACAACTCCCAAGCAGCTCATTTACATGGGAAAGTAATAATCTCTTTAGACTTGGGTAAATTACTTAACCATGCATGCCAAAAATTGCTAATATGTAGTGAGACAACATTATCATTTCAATGTCACTATTTTTAGATAAATCAGTCATTGTACACCTTTACCCAAGGAATAAAAGAACACTGGTGGAGTGGTAGGTGCTCTTATCTAGTTAAGTGTTTTCCGATAAACACTTGCCTAGGTAAGTGCATTTACCCAAGTAAGTCATTTAATGAGACGCAAACAAGGATCGGTGAGTCTATGTAAGGTGAGTCTTAGGCCTTACGTGGATTGGTGGTTTATGAGTTGGTCATTGATGGGTTGAATTCATACATCCTTTTGGCTTCATTTAGGAAGGAAAAAAAAGCCCATGAGTGGCCAGGAAGGATAGAATAGGATTTTTTCCCTTATAAAATGAGGTGATGAAAATAAAATAAAATAGAATAGAATAATCAAATAAAATTAAGCTTATCTATTGGTTGCATTATAATTCTCTCTAGGGGTGCAAGTTAAGCTTAATTAGGTTGAATTGAGGCAAACCTTAATCCAACCCAAGTTGTTAAACCCCCACTCCAAATCCATTTCTTTTTTTTTTTTTTTGTTCAAGCTTGGGATTGGGTCCAATTTCTTTGCTTTGTTTTGTTACAATGTTTTTATTTTTATTTTCTGACCTCATATTAGTGGATTAAAATTCATGAATCCTAACATTATTATATATAAAATGACAAAATGTTTTAAGAATACTAAATTCATGTTATACTAAATTGAAATTGTTGATATATGTAAATAAATAAAGGGTTAAATACTTAAACTACCCATATGGTTTAGCAAATAGACAAGAACTTATCCTACTATTTCCATATTCACTTAAAGTATCCCTATAGTTTTTGACAATGGACAAAACTGTTAAAAATTGATGGAAAAATAAAATGACCATGTTGCCCTTCTGTTAAGTAAAGTGTTAAAGAAGTCCTTTAGTTTAACTTAGGTTATTAGGGTCGAATGGAGATGCTGTTGAAGGTGTGATCCCGATGAGATTTTCGACGTATAGGAGAAGGAGAAGGTGACCGGAAATGTTGTTTTTCTATTCAGACGTTACCTTTCCTTCTCCTTTAACAACTCCAATGTGTTTTCTATTCAGCGTTTACTAGGTCATCAGAGACCCACTGTAAAGAAGGAGAGCTGCTCTACCCAATTGTTTTCCACCATTTGATGTTGTGAATCTCAATACTCCGTCGAGTCGAACCAGAGAAACCCACGAAAATGAAATCGTTCACCAACCAATCCAAGTTAAGAGTGAATGGCAAAAGGGGATTGGTTGGCCAAAGATTTGAGTAAGAAACAGAGAGTCAAGACATTAAACAAGTGAGTGAACCCATCATAATCAATCCAAGCATTCACGAGATCTCCGCTCTTTAGTTCTACATTGACTATACCCAATTGCCCACCTAAAAAGAAACCAAGCTATTTGGATCCATGCCAACATGATTCCCGTTAATGTCCTTGAACTCCACGTCCATCAGCGTGTCAAATTCAATGACAATGAACCCATACGTGGAGCTCCTTCCAACTAGGCCAAGAAACCCCACCTGCGTTGCCGATCTTCTCATCATCCGATGAGATTAGAAAGGCAAATCCACCACCAATGGAAGATGGGTTTAGATTATTAACCAAGAATGAGAAGAAAGTTGAGAAAGAAGCTAGAGAATGAGTCCCTTGAAGAGCCAACGGATCATGGTCTTGCAGATTCTCATAAGAAATATGGAAGAATCCATAATATGGACCAAGTTATTCTAGTTTGTAGGAGTTATTATTATTTTGGTAGCTTGAACTCCAACAAACTAGTGTTGATGCTCTTTACTCTTTTTTTTCTTAATTTTTAATTTATTTATTTTTAATTGCATTCTCCTGCCTCTTGGAGGCATTGGGTCATGGGAGATGCGCTAGGTATGGGTGAGGCAATTAAAGAGGAGTGGGAGTTGAAGCCGGAGCTTTTGGGTTTTGTCTTTAAAATTTAAAGAATAGTAAAGGGAAAAGTTGATTGCAAAAAGGTAGTTTTGGAATTAAGAAAAAATATATAAATTACATGATATCACATGAGAATGGATTGTAATGGTGCACTAACAGTTGGGGAGGATTTTGTCCATTGTCAAAAAATTTAGAGAGTACATTAAGTGATTATGCAAACATTAGGGTAACTTCTTGTCTATTAGCTAAACTATTGGAGTAGTTCAAGTATTTAACTCAAATAAATATGGATGAGAAGCCTCAATACCCTATTGATATTTTCAATTCAAAGCCTAATCCAAACCCAACCTATATGAACTATACTGGTTAGGTTGAATTAGGTCCCCAAGACCTTAATCCCCTATTGATATTTTCAAAGGTTTTAAAAACCAACTTGGAAATGGAACCGCTTTGGCCACCAATTTTTGGGTCTGTAGTTGATTGTCCAAGTCAAACAGTTTAAACATTTTAATATGTGATATGCCATCTTACCCATTAGATTGGAATATTAGGGTACACATAAATATCATGAAAAAGAAGGTTTGAGAATGGGAGAGATTTGAGAAGCTGTTGGATGAGAGAGTTTAGAAAAGAAATAAGACTGAGAGAAGAAGAAGAAAGAGGAGGAGGAGGACCTATAGCGGCGATGGCGATCTACAACAGCAACGATGGTGGTGAACTACAACAACAACGGTGGCAAATATACCTGTTCATGGGCCGAATCGGGCCGGGCTTTTACTCATCATAAACAAGATTTTGTTATGCCCGAGCCCGAGCCTGGCCCGACCAATAGGCCTACAACTTGGGCCCGAGCCTGGCCCTAATAAAAAGCCCAAAGCCCGGGCCCAAGCCCAAAGCCTAACCTAACAAAAAGATAGATCGGTGCCTATGTTTGTGTTCGCCGCCGACCAAACAATAAGAAAGGAATAGAACAAAAGAACTCGCCGTTGGTGCCTGAGTTCGCGTCTGATAAATGAACTGAGCTAAGATTCTGAGAGTGAGAAGGAGAAATGAGAAGAGGAACAACCGAACAATGAAAAGAGAGAGAGAGAGAGAGAGAACATACTAGTCATCGTCGGAGTTCATTGGTTGCGTCGGTTTTGTCTTCCTGAGAATGTTTGGCTATGTGAGGTTGTGACTGAGAAGGGAGTTCGTTCGGCTAAGAGAAAGAGATGAGTGATAAGAGAGGGGTTAATATTTAGGGTTAGGGTTTAACTTATACAAAAGTCGGGCCGGGCTTTTTTAATAAACCCCGAGCCCAGCCTCGTAAAATGCTCGGGCTTTTAGGCCCGAAGTCAAGCCCGCTGGCTAAAATACATGCTCAAGCCCGTCCGGGGGCCAGGCCGGCCCATGAACAGGTCTAGTGGCAATGACAATAGTATGAGATTTCTCTAAGATCTCACTCTTTCTCTCGAATATCTCTCATCTAGATTGCTCTCCCAAATCTCTAAGCTGAGATCTCTTAGATCTCTTTCTCACACGTATCTCTCGACTGATCTCTCTCTATTAGATTTCAGATCTAAGAGATATGAAGTTATGAAATTCTTTTCATTCTTGTTTTGTCCTAAGTAATAAATTGCGAACTGTTGTGTAGATGGAACGACTAAACTGTTAAACCATTTGAGTCAATGGTTTTTGGCGAGGGACTGGTTCCTTGGAGAGTTCCAGTTCAAATGATCCGACCATCCGAATCAACAACGGTTTGAAAACATTGATATTTTCAACTCAAAACTCTAATCCGATCTTCAACCCGATCCATATGGACTAACCGGCCCAAGTTGCTGAAGAACAACTTTCAAATTTCTTGTTGATTGGTCCATTTGCTGCCATCACTAAAAATATGAAGGAAAAAGAAAATTGGTCCATGAATATACCTTGTAACCTGTAAGACAAATAAGTTGTACCGTAACGAGCATGATGGAATACAGTGATTTTGTACACATTATTATCTGAGACTCAAATGCTAGGATTGGAATCTCCCCTATCATCTTGTGCTATCTCTGAATTATCAAGCAATTAGATTCTAATCTAACTGCGACATTATTTTCACCCAAACTCTGTTCCTTTCGTCTTTCTATGGTTTTCATTATTTTTGCTTCTCTTTGTTTCAGCTCCCTAATTTCTTCTCGAATTAATCATTAAAAAGAAAAAAAAATTCCAATTTCTTCTCGAATTAATCATTAAAAAGAAAAAGAAATTCCAATTTCTTCTCTTTCGCTCGCTATTTTATTTTTCTCCCTTCCATTTTCTACAGCTTCTCTCTCCCTAACCTTCTCGTTATCTTCAAAAACCCCTCTCACATATAAGAAGTTCATTCAAACCCTACCCGAACGGATCTGTCGCCTGAATCTCATTGCAGGAAGTTTCAAATTGTCTGCAACTTTAATCTTCGAACGGCCAGGCACACTATCCTATAGGTTATCTCAAATTTCTTATTTCTTTGGGACATTTAATTCTTTCTAAAATATAAGGTTAATGGCTGTTGATTGGACTCTATTCTCGAATATCCTCTGATCCGAGCTTGTTGCTTCTGGTACAATTCGTCAACATTGAAGTATTATTGTGTTTGGGGTTGTTCTGGTCAAAATCAACTTATTTACCCTCCTTTTTTTTTGTTCTTTTTTTGGGCTTTTTCCTGAACATTTGGAGTAATTATTTTTGCCAGGGGTTTGATAATCTTGGGATGATTGGGTTGTTCGGATAAGCATGAATTTGTCATCGCCGAGGCTCTGATCATATTTACTTTTGGGATTTCTGTTTCATCTCTAGGGTTTTTGTTCATTGGTTCTGTGTATTTTGTTTTCCTCTTTCTTCTGTGGCGCCACCGAAGAAAAATAGAGGAACGCTGCTGTGTTTGGTTCTGGCTACTGTAATAGGGCCACTGTTGGTTGCAAAAACGTGCTTTATTAAGCCAGGAATTGGTTGCAAAGTTTGATTATAATTCTTGTTCTCATTCTGCCCTTTTTTGTTGTATCCATTTTCTGGTTGTTGAAGAGAACAGTTCCAGTAGCAAGCTTTTATCGGGACATTTGCCTTTGATTTCCCTCTCTCGACTCTCGTGTGCACAAATATTAAAGCATTGTAGCTTCTGACCTTATAACTTCTGCTTTTAACCAAATAACATTGGCAGGTTTGCATATTGAGTTTCTGAGGTCGCCGGAGAGTTGTTTTCACTGTCAAAAGAATTTCACTAGTAAATTCTAAACTAAGAGAACTGTAAGCATTGGTTTTTCCTCGAAGATTGGATAGAGCAGTTTGCCTTGCAACATTGAAAATCAAATCTTTGAAGAAGTAGCCTGTTTGCGAGCCCTTTCTAGTTTCTTCATCACATTCCGTTGACCTCCCTCGTGCTCTCTCCCTCTCTATTATAAGAGGGAGGCGTCTAAGACAGCACCTGTTAACCACGGGTTAGTTTTGCATGGGCGATCATGAGGGCTGGTCACAGCCAAGTGGCCTATTGCCTAATGGCCTCTTGCCAAATGAAGCGGCTTCTGTCACTCAAGCTCTTGACCCAGAGAGATGGTCCAAAGCTGAAGAAAGAACTGCAGAACTGATTTCTTGTATCCAGCCCAATCAAGCTTCAGAAGAGAGAAGATTTTCTGTCGCAGATTATGTTAAACGGCTTATCACAAATTGCATTTCCTGTCAGGTTAGCCCTTTGGGTTTAGTTTTATTTTTCTGATTGATCTACTGTTTTTTTACAAGTCTAATTCTCTACATTGTTGATGCTATGAAATGCATAGGTTTTGTGCATTTGAAGGGAACCAACTATTTTGAAATGAACTGAATTAGTATGGTATCACTAGTAGACTATACAGCGTAAAACCAAATGACAGCTCTGGCCTGTTATAGAGTTCATGTTTCTTTTGGTGCTTAAAATTTTGAACCGTGTTTCTGTGAGCTGAGGGTGGTAGCATATCACCTATTTGAAATTATGAAATGGTAACAGTAACATCACTCATCATTGCCATCACATAGCTTGATGGTGAAGTGGTGAAAGTAGAATAATATGGTCAAGATTTAAGAATTAAAGATCAAAGATGAAATACAGTTGGCTGGCAGCTGTATGGTAGTAATATGAAATGAAGATTTCAGAAATGAGGAATATCAAGAAATTAAGAAAGTCAAATATAAAGAATGGAGAATGATGGTCACTGTACTAGGGGGAAGAGCAAACTGATAGAAAAAGGGTTGGAGAAAGATAGAAAATCATTATAGAAGAGAGAGAGAGATACTTGGAGTAAGTTCAAAGACACTCCAATTCAGTAATTCACTAACTGTTATATCAAATGAAGTCTTACAAATTTCTATTTAAAAGTTATTGCACCTAAACTTCCAACCAATGACCACATTTGTAGAGTCAAATGGGTTGAATCTCTAATAGACTCTAAATTCAGCTCAAGAGTTAACCAGGAACAACTCTAGGTTTCTTCATAATTATGACAAACTAATAGATATCCCACAAAAGCATAAAAATACTGATTTCAACTCTTAAAGCAGCTCTGACTACCCACTTCCAATCACACTATAATTAAATAAACTAAATAAAAGTCTAAAATTGACCAGATATTAAAATGACTACACTGAAACTCTGTCCACTGATACCCTATTGTTAGAATGGTCATTATTTTTTTTTTTTTCAGACCACTTTGGATTCACAAGACCTTTGTCGCATCTGATAGGTAACTGAGAAACTTATGTCATCATCATCATCAAAAGCCTTATCCCAACTATATGGGGCCAGCTACATGAGCTCTGTTTTTCCAGTCCATTCTGTTTAATGTCATATCCATTTGTTAAATTATTGTTGCTTAGATCATTTCTTACTACTTCCACCCATGTCCTTTTGGTCTACCCCTTGCTCTTTTAGCCCGTTGATGCAGCAATTCACCCAAATAGCCACTAAGTTAGGCAGCTGAAATGGGCCCTAAATAAGCTGGAAACAAGCCCACAATGGCCTCAGCTTGTTGGTTGAAAATTGGTCTTTAATTGCTTTGAAAAGTCGGGTGGACAGAACTGAAAGAGATGGAATAGTCACTAACCCAGTGAAACAGAAATGGAACTAGAGTAAACAGGGGCTCAAATGGTGCTTACAGTTTTGGAAAAAAAAAAACATAATTAGTGAGAATGGCTGCTGTGCCATCTAGAGAAGATTGCAGAAATTTAGTAGTAGAGAAAATTGCAAAGGGAAAGAAGGGAAAGACAGATGGAATGTAAGAGGTCTGAAAACAGTTGAAGAGAAAATTCTAATTGCAAGAATGTAGAATCATAAAAAAGCAAACCTGTAATATTGGAACAGAGATTTAATAGAATAATATTTAACAAGAACTAAACTAACAGTAGGAAACAATAGATAGGTCAGTTAGGTCCTATTGGAGCCAGTACCATTAAGTTCCTCTAGGAATTGGCACCTAGAGATGAAGTTAACACCTTCATAAGCTTGGAGTGAGCACCAAACCTTAAAACTTTCTGGAGCAATTCAAAATTAATGTATTCATTTTTTGATTAATAACAGAACTTTTATTAGAAAATTAGAAATCAGTTACAAGGAAGCAAGGGGAGGGTTAAAATCTCTTAACCCTCCCTGAGAATGAAAAGAAAATTACAACGTTGCCCAAAGAAGGCCATCCCTTCCCACCCCTTGTTTAGCAAGTGCATCCGCAAAAGAGTTTGCATTTCTCTTAACCCACTGTAGCTTTATCTCCAAGCCCTGGGTCAGCCACTTAAACTTCTTTTTTTCATTGGCAAACTTCCAAATTCCATTCTCTTCTTTTTGAAGCCAGCCTATGACCAGCAATGAATCAATTTTCTTATATTTAACTCCTTTGCCCTTTTTACCCCTTCCATTACCACCACAACCTTGGTTCTTAGTGAATCACCTACTCCAATAGGGCCTGTATATCGAGCAATAACATTCCCTTACCTCATCCCTAAATAGAGGTCCTATTACCTTAAGGGCCCGGGATACCTTCACTGCTTCCATCAAAATTCAACTTAGTGAAACCATCATCTGGTGGGGACCAAATGTGGACTGGTCACAGTTTTGAGAGGTTTTGCAAGAGTATCAAATCTTTGATTGAGAGAATATGTATGGGGCCCCACTTGAGCTGGTTCTCATTGCTGGAATGGGCTTAATGTTGGGCTGTTTTGCATGTGGGCTGTGGCTGCTTGCCCATGGTCTTATGGCTGGATCTTTTCCTTGGCTCCTTGAACTTGTAACAGATCACTTCTTCTCATGGGTGCTGGTGATGGTTTTCTATGCACATGACCAAACCATCTTAGTCTATTTTCTCTCATTTTATCACCTATTGGAGCCACTCCTAAGTTCCTACAAATGATTTCATTTCTGATCCTATCCTTTCTAGTTTTTCCACTCATTCATCTCTGCATACACATTTCTACCACACTCATTTTCTAGACATGTCGTTTCTTGATTGCCCAAGACTCTGCTCCATACAACATAGCTGGCCTTAAGACTGTTTTATAGAAATTTCCTTTTAATCTAACTGGTATTCCTTCATTGTATAAAATTCCAGATGCACCCCTTCATTTTGCCCAACCTGCTCTAATTCTATGGGCGGCATCCTCCTCAATCTCTCTCTTATTATGATTTATGGATTGTCAAACCAATATTAAGTGTACCCTGATTTGTACTCCTATTGTTATTAAATTTACATGCCATATATTCTGTTTTAGTCCTACTTTAAAACCTCTTGTTTCTAAGTCAATTTTCCATAAGCTTAATTTTGTATTTAATCCTTTGTTGGTTTCATCAATTGTAATGATGCCAATAGGTAATAACATGCACCATGGGACCTCCTCCTGACTGTGTGGTCAATTTATCCCTGACATGAAACTGATAAACTTGTGTAACTACACCAAAATGAAGGCAAAAGAACAAGTTTTGCCCCTAAACCTAGGACTACAAGAAACATGTTGTAGTTTCAACTTCAGTTCCCTAAGTTCTAATGGCACTTCAGTAAGGCACTTCAAACTATTGCAACTCTTTAGCCCAATTAAACACATTCCTACAAAAGTAGTGGGAGAAAAGACATCAAATCTGGCCTAGGTTAGATAAATTCATAACTAACCAAATTCAGAATTTACAGATAAAAAGTAGATTCTGCTAGTGGTCCTCCTTTGGAGTCTGATCTTAGTGCTTGCTTTACCTTGTTCAACCCCTTGGCTTTGTCATGTTATTTATCCTTGCCAAAGTTTTTCTTTGAGGTTTTCACGAAGGATTATATTTGGCAAGCCAAGATACCAACACTGCAGCTGCACCAGTTTCTTAAATTCCTTTCCTTTGATCCCTTGTTTTGAAAAGGGGCAATTTTTCTGGGACCTGTAACTTTGACCATATGTTAAAAATGAGTGTCTAGAGTAGGAATTATATTTCCACCACAATGAATTTGTTGCTGTTACCTTGGCTATAGATTTTTTTATGGTAAATATAAATTTTCATTAAAAAAAAAGACCTACAATATTGATAAAAAAAGACATACAACCTAGCAGGTGGTAAGGTATCACCACATAAACAACAGAAACTACTAATCTTATCATATAAGACTTCAGGTGTCCATGGGTATCTGGTGTGTCAAGCTCAAAAATTCATGGCAAGAGGACATGGTGCTGCATAAATTTAATTAAATAATTTTATAATTTTAAAATATGGAAATTAAAGAAATATTTTTAGAATCAAAATGCCGAGTTTTGATTCCTTATCGTGTCTCTCCTTTCTTGTGATGCCTTGTTTAGGTGTGCTGACTACATTGTTTTGTTTTATGTAAAATGCAAGTGTTGGCATGGCTAGATCTGTTTATTTTGAAATGTTCTGGTAACTCTGAATTTGGATGACAAATTGTTGCTTTATAGAATGTAAAAGCACAATAGCAAGAAAATGGTTGAATAGGAAAATCTAGGCTGTCACTTTGACACTTATCAAAAGGAAAAATCTAGGACCATCTGATTAATATGAGGGCTGCAAAATAACAGTTTAGTTGCATTCAACAGTTAACAAGGAAATATGAACATTTATCTATCTATACTAGAAAGGATAGGATAAAGAACAAACTTATTTGAAGGAACCTAGAAGTAACTCCAATAGGTCATAAAATGAGGGTAAGTAGATTAAGATGGTTTGGGCACTTGCAGAGAAGACTGTATACAACACCAATAAGAAGTGACCTGTTAGAGTTGAAGAGGCTAGAAGAGCTAGGTCCTAGGTGCAGACCAAAAGGGCATGGGTTGAAGTAGTGAGAAATGATTTAATGGCCCATAATTTAACAACAAATTTGCATTAAAAAGAATGGAATGCGGAACAGGATTCATGTAGAAAGGTTTAGATGATGATGATGATCATTTATCTAGGTGGTTTCACTAGATAAATGATGGGATTATAACAGCCTTGTTCTTGGGTCCTATTGGTCTAGGTGGTTCCACTAGAGCTGAATTGCTTGCTGTGCTTTGTGGGGTACAAATAGCAAAAGAGTTAAATTTGGGAAGGCTGGCTAAAGAATGAAAAGAAGGCAGCCTGGACTTATCGAGATGTGGTAAAGAAGGTCAAATGGTTATTAAGGGGAATGAAATAACTTTTCAGTGGGTTCCAAGGGATGCTAATGGGTTGGTAGATTCTTTAGCAAAGCAAGGGGTAAATAGGGAGCAGTTGTATTGGTCTTGTTTATAATGTCTGAAACTTAGGGGTCTTTTTACCCCTTTGGACTCTCCTTGTATATCTTTGTTTATATTAATGAAATGATACCCTATTAATTATCAAAAGAAAATGATGATCGTTGATTGATAAAAAAAATGATAATCGTTTATCTATATCTGACCTTGAGAAAGGTTAATTTCCATGATATGGGGTAGACTGCATGAGTCCTGTTTCACCATTTGTTTAGCTCCTCAGAAATTTTTATTGGTTTTTTGAATGTATTGTTTCAAACCCCCACCTATGCTACAATACCCCCCTTGTATTTTGATAGATTTCCCTTTGTTTAGAGTTTTCAAGCAAGTTGCACGTTGTTTTCCCATTTTCTGAGATATTTTGTTGCATTTCAAGTAATTGTGCTTTCTTTTTGTTTCTTAATTTTGTACAGGTATTCACCTTTGGGTCTGTACCCCTCAAGACCTACTTACCGGATGGGGACATTGATTTGACAGCTTTCAATAAGAATCAAAATTTGAAGGATACCTGGGCAAATGAAGTTCGAGATATGCTTGAGAATGAAGAAAAGAAAGAGAATGCTGAGTTCCATGTAAAAGAGGTTCAGTATATTCAGGCAGAGGTAATGGCACTTTGTGGTTCTTCAATGTCTATTTCTTCAGATGTGACTTCAACTTGTCTCAATTGGTTTCATTTCTTGCATTTTATTGGCTCATATATCTAATTTATACTATAATTATAGTTGTATGATAAAACTCAGATTAGATGTTCGTATATGTTCAAATCAGAAGAAAGAGAAAGAAAAGAGAGAGAGGAGAAGGAGAAAGAGAAAGAGAAAGAGAAAGAGAAGAAAAAGAAGGAGAAAAGTCACAGCCGAACTAGCGAGTAAAAACTCAAAACCTCTAGTCGGCCCTTCTTTTATTTATACTCTTCTAAGATATACAAGGATTACCAGTGTGCCCTCACTTAAGTGAGAGCCACATCAGCAGAACAATACATATATAACTAAACATAAAAGGATTGTACTACCATTGTACAACCGATTCTAACACTCCCCCTCAAGCTGGTGAGTATATGTCATATAGTCCCAACTTGTTACATATGTAGTCCACTCTTCCCTGATTCAACCCTTTGGTAAACAGATCTGCCCATTGATTTCCTGTGTTCACATATGCTGTACTTATCACTCCACTAAGCACCTTCTCACGTACAAAGTGGCAATCCACTTCTATGTGCTTCGTCCTTTCATGGAACACTGGATTAGAGGAGATATGATCTGCAGCTTGGTTATCACAGTATAGCTACATAGAGTGTCAATCGAGTATCCCATCTCCTCTTGTAGATGCTTCAACCACACCAGTTCGCATGTTGTGTGAGCCATAGCCCTATATTCAGCCTCTGCACTGCTTCTTGCTACCACTGTCTGCTTCTTACTCTTCCATGTCACTAAGTTCCCACCAAGAAAAGTGCAATACCCTGTAGTGGACATTCTGTCAGATATGGACTCGGCCCAATCAACATCCGTGTATCCCTCTATCTCAAGACTTCCTCCACTCTTATACAACAAACCACGACCTGAAGCACCCTTCAAATACCTCACAATCCTTAGGACTGCCTTCCAGTGTGGGATTCTCGGGTTCTGCATAAATTGACTCAGTACACTGACCGCAAATGAGATATCAGGTCGAGTGATGGTTAGGTAATTAAGCTTACCCACCAGCCTTCTGTACCTTCCCGGATCCTCAAACTCCTCACCTGTATCACTACCCAATCTAGCATTTAGTTCCATAGGTGTTTTAGCTGGTCTGGCACCCAACAACCCTATTTCCTCTAGCAAATCAAGAACATATTTCCTCTGGCATAGATTAATACCATTCTTGGACCTTGCAACCTCTATCCCTAGGAAGCATCTTAATTTGCCAAGATCCTTTGTCTGGAAGTGATCATGCAAGTAAGTCTTCAACTTGTCAATTCTTGGTCTGTCACTGCCTGTGATAACAATGTCATCTACATATACCACCAAGAGAACTTCCCAGCATTTGATTCATAGCTGAATACGGAATCGTCAACCTGACACTGTTTCATTCCAAACTTCTTCACCACTTCACTAAATCTCCCAAACCATGCATGGGGAGATTGTTTAAGTCCATAATAGCCTTCTTAAGTCTATAGACCTTCTCACCCTCCCCTTGAGCAACAAACCTTGGTGGTTGCTCCATGTACACCTCCTCAAGAAGATCACCATGTAAAAAGGCATTCTTGATGTCAAGTTGAAACAAGGGCCAATCAAACATAGCGGCAAGAGAAATCAGAACATGAACTGACCCAATTTTGGTAACTGGAGAGAAGGTGCTGTGTACCATATTGCTGTGAATAACCCTTGGCAACTAACTGAGCTTTCAACCGTTCAACACTTCCATCAGGTAAGTAACCGTGTACACCCACTTACAGCCGACCACATGTTTACCAGGAGGAAGAGTAGTGAGGTCCCACGTATGAGTGCGAGTCAGGGCCGAGAGTTCTTCCATTGCTTGGTGCCACCCTGGAGAATTGAGGGCTGCCTGGACATCATTGGGAACAGAGACAGAGGATAACATAGAAACAAACTGTCGATGGGAAGCCGAAATGTGAGATACAGAAACATAATTGGAAATGGGATGGAGAGTGCAACTGCGTTTACCTTTCCACAAAGCAATAGGAAGATCAAGGTCAGAACTTAGAGTTGGGGCTGGGGTGGGATCAACTGCCAGATCTGTCGACGGTGACGAAGCTAGGGGAGGAGCTGATGCTTGACGATGTGTATACACTTGCTAGATAGGTGGTCCTCTCTCAGGTAACTGCACTGGAGGCAAAGACTAGGTCATGACCGGAACAAGAGGAACGGGATCCTCAATAGGAACTGGAAGAGGGGGTGATGGCAACAGAGGAGAAGAAGTAGCCGACCTGGAGAAGAAAGGAACAAACTCAAAAAATGTAAAATCAAAACACACAAAAGAACGCCGAGAACGAGGGTTATAACACATACCCTTTTTGAGTCCTGGAATAGCCAAGAAAGACACACTTAGTGGATCTAGCATCTAACTTGTCCATTCTAGGCCCAAGATTATGAACAAAACACACACATCCAAAAACTCTGGGAGTAAGGGGAAAAGGAGACAACGTGGGAAACAGAACAGAGAAAGGGAACTGGCCTTCAAGGATAGACATGGGCATGCGGTTAATAAGAAAGCAAGATGTGAGTACAACATCACTCCAAAAGGGTTTGGGGACATTCATTTGATGTAAGAGGGACCGAGTAGTTTCCAAAAGGTGATGTTTTTTTTTTTCTTTCAGCCACCCCATTTTGTTGAGGGGTGTAGGTACATGAGGTTTGATGGATAATGCCATGTTCCAAATATTCTTGAAAGTGTGTGGAAAAATACTTGCGACCAGTATCAGAACGAAGAATTTTAATATTTACACCAAATTGATTGCGAATTTCAGCATAAAATTTCTRGAAGATAGAAAACAATTCACTCTTTTCTTTCATAAGGTAAAGCCATGTCATCCTTGAATAATCATCAACAAAAATTACAAAGTACTTGTAACCATTATAAGACACTATTCTGTTTGGACCCCAGATGTCCGAATGGACTAAAGAAAAATGACTCGATGTACGACTATCAACTCTAGGACTAAAGGAGACACGATGATGTTTCCCAAACTGACACGACTCACAATTTAAATTAGAAAGACGATGCAATGACGAAACAAGTAACTGAAGAGCTCTAAGAGATGGATGACCAAGTCTGTAGTGCCACTGATGAGGGGAGAGAGATGACTGAAGAGCTATTGCCGAACCACCTCCATCAAGATAATACAGTTCACCAGCTTCATGCCCTCCACCAATCTTCATCCCCGTCTTGACATCCTGAAACACACAAGAGGAAGGGTAAAAAGTTATTGAGCAATTAAGAGACCAAGTCAATTTACTCACAGACATCAGGTTAAAGGGAAACTTGGGAACATATAAAACTGAGGAGAGGGATAATGAGTCAGTGTCAACATTACCAACACCACATATGGCTGATGTAGAGCCATTGGCAAGAGTAACAGATTGGGAAGTGGAGGACGGAGAAATGGATGAAAACACACCTGGAGTTTCGGTTATATGATTGGAATCTCCAGAATCTATAATCCAACGGGAAGATGTGGATGCCAGACAAACCGTACCTGTGTGTGCAAGGGTAGCTGTGTTCTGTTGAGATGTACCCTGAATGAACCACTCATACTCATCCCGTGAAACACTCACCATCTCCTTTCTAGAAGTATTTGTAGATGTAGTGGGGATCTGATCAGTGACTTGAGATTCCTGTCTTGAGCTACCACCATTTACAGCTGCATGATTCACCCAGGTTGAAGGTGGGCCATGGAGATCGTAGCAAAAGTTGATAGTATGTCCCTCCATACCACAATGAGTACACCTTCTCTGAGTATTACCCTATCCCCTACCACGAGCTCCCCCTGAGTCTCATCCTTCAACACGACCACCACCACGACCATACATGGGTCCACCACCACTACCACGACCATGCTGACCTCCTCTACCACCACGACCTCCCCCTCTCGTAATTGCAAATGCATACCTATCTGACATAGTGGAAGTCTCTGTGGGTCCAACTGAAATCTTCTGAAGACGAGCAAACACTTCTTCAAGAGAGGGAAGAGTAGATCCACCTAATATCTGTGCCCTTATGGGTTCATACTCAGAATTCAGCCCTACTAAAAATCTGGTCACATCCAACTGCTCTCTTTGTTGTTGCTGAATTTTGACATCAGGTGTAAGAGGATGATAAACATTCAACTCATTTCGTAAATTTCTCATATTGGCATAATAGTCCTCAAGACTCTGATTCCCTTGTTGCAGATTAAAGTAGTTTTGGTACAGTTAGTAAACCCTAGTAGTGTTATCTTGTCCAGAATATAGTTTCCTTGCATGATCCCAGACTTCCTTGGCTGTATCTAAAAACATGAAGTTTACACTAATTTTGGACTCCATGTTGTTCCATAGACAAGTCATAATTTGAGCATCCTCCTRCTCCCATTCATCATATCCCGGAGAATCAATTGAGGGTTTATCTTCCCTCACATGTTTCACTTTATTTTTGGCTTTCAGGAAAACTTCAACAGACTTAGCCCAAGGGACATAATTCTCACCATTCAGTTTTATAGAGGTCATCTGTACATTCAGATAATCAGAAGACACCATCACACTTGATTTGTATTCACTGCTGTCTCCCATGACTGCACAAAAAAACAGTGGGAGGTTGTACCACTAAATTGTTACTCTACTACCCTAATAAATCACCACACTCCACACGAATGACTGAACACCACTAGGGTTCCTAGTACTAGGTTTCAGCAGCAACACTCACAACTATTCACCACTGTTTCAGCAATAATATTCACAACTGTTCACCACTTTTAGCAACAGCGCTACTGTTGCCGTTTACTGTCAGCATTAGAAACCCTCACAACACACCTCACAACTAATATTTTCAGTTCTGCAACATATAAAAGAAACTTGCTACATACCACAACTTAGTTCGAAGATCATATACCTGTCGAGTAGAGGGTACCAAG